GGGGGGGTGTCGAATAATCTAAGATGGCCAAAGCCACTACTGGCCACTGCCTTTCTCCACCTCTGTGCCTAGTGGTGGTTAAATCTGCTGCCTCCACCCATCAGGACTAGTCACTCTGCGCTGCCTCAAAGAAGCAAGAAAACAACATCAAAACGTAGGAGGGAAAAGTGAAACACCCACACCTGCCTCCACCCTCATTTGCCCCACTCTGAGCCCTTGAGCAAGGCCCTTAACCCCCATCATCTGCTCCCTTGGGCACCCTAGATAGCAGCTCTCTGCTCCACACAGAGGGCTGTGGAAGCTCGGTGGTCTGTGAAGGACATAGGCGTGAAAACCATTCCTAAGTCTTTGTGTGAATTAGTTCACTGTGCCCCCCCCCCAAATGCCCCCCTCCCCCCCAAAAAAAAAAATAAATAAAAAGTTCACATGTAAAAGTACAGGACTTAAAATAAAATAAAAATCTCTTGTTAGAACCCCAATAATCAGATTTAGACCATTTTGAGACCACTTCTGTTAACATCCAGACTCCATCAAGTACTGGTAATCCTTTTTAACAGAGATTTAAACTGTAATCTGAAGCTGCTGGTGTTTTACAGATGTTTTTTTTTTTTATATATGTTAAAAAGCTTTGATTGGTTTCAGGCTTCTGGAAGGCCACCTCTGCATCATGCTCCAGCCCTCTTCTTGTCCTTGTCAACTCAAAAAGCGGCGATAACCAGGGGGTCAAGTTTCTGCGCAAGTTCAAGCAGCTCCTCAACCCGGCTCAGGTCTTTGACTTGATGAACGGAGGACCAGAGCTCGGGTACTTCATTCTAAAAATTATAACATCCACCGCTGCCTTCCCTGACAGGCGATGACTTTCTAAACGTTTTCTTTGCTTCTTGCCTTTTTGTTTTTCTCACTCTGCCTCTCTTGTTATCCCACTCTCTCCACCTGCAGCCTTCGCCTCTTCCAGAAGTTTGTGACGTTTCGTATTCTGGTATGCGGGGGAGATGGCAGCGTGGGCTGGGTACTCTCAGAGCTCGATAAGCTCAAACTCCATAAACAGGTGAGAGCGGCAGAATGGAGGAGGAGGAGGAGGGAAGCTCGATGGAGCGTATTGATGCTGCTGAGGAATCAGTCAATCCTGTTGTACTAACACCACAGCTGTCACTATGTTACATACCAGCACGTTTAGTGTGCACTTTTGCTTGCCAGGATTTTATCGTACCAGATTTTAAATGAGAACGTATACATTTCCATCATAATATATATGCCTTGAAACAATTCAGAAAGAAAGGAGGATCAAATACTGGTAGGCTAAAATAGCTTCATAGTATTGTATTTATCGATCTTAAATGTTAGTTTGAAGGTTGAATTATAAACAGATAATGGGTTTTATTTAATCATCTTTCCCTTCGTCTCCACAGTGTCAGCTCGGCGTGCTGCCTCTCGGCACCGGGAACGACCTGGCTCGGGTTCTGGGCTGGGGAGGCCTGTGTGATGACGACGCTCAGCTGCTGCAGATCCTGGAAAAGCTGGAGCGAGCCACCACCAAGATGTTGGACAGGTAAATAAAAGCAGAGGGAATTGGGTGAGTGTGTGTGTGTGTGTGGGGGGGGGGGGGTCAACATCAGACATTTTCAAGTTTACTCTTTTTTTTTCTTCCTTACTTTCATTCTTAGAGTGGGATAAATTTAGTCCAGATTGGATATTTAGGCCCCTAAAATGGTTCAGGTTGTACTTTTATGGTCACCTGGACCCTTTAGGGTGGAACTTTGTGTCAGTTTAGAGCTGAATATTCAGAGTTTGTCCAGAAAAAACATAATCAATGTGTCTAACAAGGTTGAGTCAGGTTCTCTGGACGGATTCTTCTTTGTTGAAATGTCTCATCTTTTATCCAAAAGGCTTCTTCTGTCTGAGGAGCTGCAACAAACTCCGTCTTTTAAATAGCACCTTCTCATAGTGGATTAACCAGTTGGTGGTGACAGCCAGAACTAGCTGTTCACATGTATACGTGACTAATCATCAATGTGGTTACTGTAGTAGCTGCAACATGTTTATTAGTCAGATGTCAGATTATTGAACGAGATTCAATTTATATTGAAAAGTATATAATGGAATAAAGAACTGAGGAACAATAAGCCTCCGTTATTTCCAAGAGATAATCACGGGAAAAAATAAT